ATTTATTTAGGCCTATATATATATATATTTTTTTTTCTCAAATGTTCTTATTGAAAGAAATATATTGAGAATAAATGTATTATGGAATATATTAGAATGACTATTTTATTTGTTGATGAGTTTAATATATCAACTTGTTTTATATATACTCTATATATAATGCAAATAGTCAGATTTCTGATTATAACTGAAATACATGATGTTCTCAGGTTTTGTGTGTTTAATTTTGAAAACTAATATTTAAATGTGTTCTGACAATATATTTTTGAATTAGTTATAAGATAGTCAATCCTCCTCTTCTATGAATTATGATTAACACACTAACTTCTCTCTTTGGGCAGTACCAAGGATTTTGTATCATTCAAAAAGAAACCACTTGTTGGCACAGTTAAAATATTGTTTGTTTTAAAATATTTTTCTAGAATCAGTGTATGAACATTTCTGCTATTTTATCATATATGATAAAGTATCATTTTTGTATATGTATGGCTTAGAAGTTTAGCAATTACTTTTAAAATAATTTTTTTCTACCTGCATTAATTATCAAAATTAAAATTTTTCACTTAAAAATTCTTTGTACTCATTACAAAATCAATTGAAATTCTCAAACTTAGGCTTTACGCATGAATTTACCTAATTAAAATATTATTAATACTAGATATTTAGTGTAAAAACCATAAAAAATGTCAAATTGCCAAAAACACATTAAAATCTAAAAAATTAAAGTTGACAGAAACATGAATCACAATAGTTAAGTACACTTAGCAATAAACTGGAAAGTGTACTTGGTTCTAGGATATCTAACCTTTCTTAAATATATTACATAAGCTAATATATTCAATATCTTCAGTCTGTTCAAATTAGTAATGTTGACTAGATAATATTTTGGCTGATTTTTTAGCAAGTACACAGTGCATAATTCATTTTATCCTAGAGGGAAAATGCCAAGTAGCAGTTGCACCAAAAAATTGTGACCGACTTTGCTCTCGTCAGTATGTTTCTGTCAATGATTTCTTTTTTCCTCAAAACCTGGCCTTTCTTATTTTTTTTTATTGGATCTTGGGATGTAGTAACACACGTCCACATATTGGATATTTACTATCTTTTTATAATCGAATCAACATTTTTTTTCTTTTTTAATTATTAAAATTTATGAATATGTAATTTATCTTGTAAAAATGCAAATGAATTAATAATTAATTGATCACTAACTTGCAAAAAGTTAAAATATATTCTCGTTGAGCGGGATTGGAATACTTTAAATTTTGTAATTTTATTTTAATAATTGTAGAGTGATCCAGGTAATTCTAAAAATTTAATTTAAAATGATAAGTTGAGTGAAAATTTAACATTTTTATTTTAAAATATTAATCATTTGTTATTTTGAATGCATTGTAAATTGCATGTACATAAACTGTGTGTTGGCAAGTGATACAGAAGAATACAATGGCAGATCTTTCTTGATTTGTAAACTGTTGTTTTAATTTAAACAGTAACTGGTATTAGAAAATGATGGTTTTTAAAAATTATCAACAAAAATTTTCCATTTATATACTGTATTCTTAAAATTTGGCAGGAGATGAGTCAATGGATTTTATTCTTAGCGGGTCCTATTACTTCAAACATAATAAATAGGTTAATATTATTTTGGATCAAATTATTTTTAAGAGATTTTTTCAGCTTTTACGAAGTCTTGGTTACATTAAAAAAGATATCAAGAGAATGTTCTTAATATTAAACACTTTTGTGCATAGAAATTTAACAATTTGTGTATTATTGTTCTGGCATGTCTGTACATTTTGTTACATAAAAAAATTTTATTGTTGCTTGAAACAAGTTAGTTTTAGTTTATAAATAAGCAACTGCAAACTATAATAGTCATAAATCTGATTAAAAAATAATAATTTATTTGCTACCGTTTATTAAAATATTTTAATAAATTATTATTTAAGAATAAAATATGAAAAATTATTCTGTTTAGTATTATTTTTTTACACGAAAGAATGAATCAGTTAATTTTAAAATGCAAATATTTGTTGAGTGTAAATAAAGAAAAATACAGGTTACGGTTGTTGTTTTTTTTTCTTCTTTAAACTGTAATTAAATTGCTTCCTGTAAACATGTTTAAACTTACTAATTTGACTTGTAGTTATAAAACTTGTCACATGGATTGTTGCATCGGAGAAAATAATTCCCCTCTGAAGACCAAACCCAGTAATCAGTTCTAACTTGGGACCAGTTTTTCACGTCCATTTGGGGTCGATGATCTCGATTTACGATCTCAAGGTTCATTTCTAAAAAGGATGGCAAAAAAGAGGAGAGAAAAGACGACACTCTGCTTAATATATAATTAAATTGTTTACAACTTAACTTGTTTAATATTTATAATTATCCGATGCGTATAATGTATTGTCACGCTTTGTCTAATGCACTCTTTTGTCATTTCAGGATGACTCCGATAATTATGATGTAGAAATTGATTTGGATGAACTTCTCGACATAGAGGCAGACGGTGCTAAAAAACAGTGGCTTCTGGTAAGTGTGGCACTTCAAATTATTTTAATTTAAAAAATCCTCTTGTTCTCTAGCTCCAATAATTATTTTGAATATTTACATGGATATAATCTCTGATTTGACACTAACAAATCAAAGTAAGATTGATTATTAACCCGTCTTTAGTATTTGTGTTAAATGGCATAAACATATTGCAACGACTGATTTTGTTTCATTTTTTACTCCCAACCACCTTCTGTATAGAATTAGCCGTCACCATTGCCTCCCCCTTACTATTTGTGCAGTCATGTGTACAATAAATGTCAATTAACAACAGAAAATTCCAAAATAAATAAATTACTTTGTATGCACAAACACTCTGACCTCCCACTCCATGTCGGCATTCATCAAGACACTTCCGACACTCCCCATCTTGATGATGATGCAATAAATTCATGCCACCTTAGCAAAGTATTGCTTTAAAGAAAATCATATAAAAATTTGGATTACTCATTTAGAAATGAAATTAATGAAAATTTCCTAATGGTATTAATGAATGTAAATTCCTATAGTCACAATACAAACGGACAACTAAGCAATAAATTTAATGAAACTAACTAAAATTCAAACTATCATCACTAAAGTTCTTAATCTGAGGATCACAATGGTAGACTTCAATTGGCTGTATCATTTTTTAATATTTAGTTCACAAAATAATTTTAAATTAACAACAAAGTGCAATTCTGTAATATCCTTACAGAATAGATGAGATAATAGAATGATGTATTAAATAAATTAATTAAAATAATCAAAATATTTAAATATTATTTTAACTTTTAATTAATAAAAGGGCCATTTTGTAGTTACAAATATTTTTATTTTTCAGAATAAGTTAGTTAATGCAAAAGATTCAAGAGCTGCAGTAGAAGTAAGTATTAGACTTTCTTAATAAAATTAACATTAAAATTCATCATAAAAATATCATTAGTTATTATTCTTTATAAGTGCAAGCAATATAAATTTCCAATTTAATATCTTAACAAATGCATTTAATTAGCTAAAATAAAACTGATGTTTTCTATCGAGATAATCGATAGTAATTGGCATTACCATTGCGGAATGGCAATGCTCAGCAATCTGATTGCCTCCGGTTGCTATAAAATGGGAAAGAAAACACTGTCCAAACTACAGTAAACTCCCATACAATGTGCAACTACTACATATGCAAAATTCAAATTTTGTCGTTCAGATGTATGTGTCATGCGTTTTATGGGAGTTTACTGTAATATCATATTTTTCAAAACATACAATATTGATGATTACAGTATACTACTACAGAATCTACAAATGGAAATTGGAGATTATAAAAGCTCAATAACTCGGTGAAGTCGTTTGTTTAAGAAATTACAAATATATTGGCCTAAAGACAATAAAAATGTATTTTATTTTTTTTAAAATGACATCTTTGAAGCAACCTCCATCTCTACACAGACGTTCCTCTGTACTCAAGTGCATATCAAATATTACACACTACAACATTTCCAGTGGAGTTCTGATTATTTATTTTCTAATTTTGGCAATATTATGTGAGAAGTTCATGTACCCTTTGCTTTTCAAATATATTTGCAAAAAGAACACGCTGTGACGAATCGAGGGGGTCTTGTGGGCAAGAAACGTCACTGTTCTTGGAGATAACATGACAGAAATGACCATCTTAAAACAGTTATAAACATTCTGGCCACACAAGCCTTTTCCACATCTCATCAGAACCACATCTGATATCTCAAATGAGAGGAAAGCCAGTTGACTGCAAGGTGGCATTTGGAGACCTGCGAACCACGTTTGCAATACTTTCCGGGGGCACATGCGGTTCTCGCCAAACCCAAAGGCACATTTTTTTACTGCAGAATCAATTTCTTCAAAGTTCTTAATCTGCATTGTAACAGCATGTCCAGACAGCACCGATTCTTTTGATGGACATCAAACCAGCAGCAAAATAACTGTCGAGAGACTACGTTGCAATGATTATTTTTGCAGTATGCCTTAACAACAAATGCATGCCACACGCTGGTCAGCCACTTTACAACTACCAAATGCCATTCTCTCAACGATGCCACAAGCTGATGAGCAAGCTTGTGCTACTCCACAAATACCCAGCAAAATCAACTTTAAAAGTCTCCCTTTTCTTTGCTTCACCCAGTATGCATACTTAAATAAAAATACTTATGCGAGCATACCAACATTCAAATATAATAATAATAATTAATAATAATAATAATAATAATAATTAACAAATCGTCTTTCAGCGGA